CTCTTGTTGTGACAAATTGTTACACAAGTGACTGTTTTTCAAATCTGCCCATGGTAATCAATTTTAGTTTCTTAGTAAATTATGTCCCTAAGCCACACATTCAATTTACATTGTTTTAGAAAACATTCTATAGAATACATGTCAGCAGACCATGGTACCATGGCTTTTTACTTCATACTTTATATAGATTTATTTTTATTTTAACTCTATTTTTCTAGTTTTCCTGTGCCTGCTTATTTGGGAAGTTACATTTTCATTCATTCATTCAATGCATGCAAATGTTACTTTATTCAGTTTCAGTTATCCACTTACTCATTTTTATTCACATAAGTATTTTATTCTTTACAAAGTGCCAAGTTATGTTGATAAACAGACACTTTACTTTTACACACAAACCTTACAATTTACTTTAACAAGGTTAAATTATAAGATTTGACAGAATTACAAGATTTTGACAGAAAAAATAACACATTATCATGTGGTCACAATGATATGAATTTTAAAATTGTTCTTTTAGACAAATAAGTAACCTGGTTAGAAATGCATGTACAATAAAGAAAAGCAAAAAGACTCCAGGCGAAGTGGAGGAAAACACTCCTATAAGCACATTACATTTAAATGGGTGGTTTGTGAGATGTATCCTTTCATTGCTCAGAAACAGTAGTTCAAAATTAAATTATTCTCTCCTCTTTGAAAACATGAGATTGTCAAATATATGTGGCATCTGTGTATTTATGCTTTGTGGCCATTTCCATTAGGAGATACTTATTTACAGAAAAATAACATAATTTCAAAAGTCAGAATGTCTTAGGAAAGGCATATATGACCTACACCAACTACTCTTTGGTCATTGTCAAACATGATTCCCTCTGTTTGGAAAAAGTTTCTCCTCCTTCTTATGGACATTGCTCTGGCTTAGGTTTTTATAGATTTTAGGAGAAAATAAGGCCTATAGCTTGTATGATTTGGTGTAGGGGATGCATAGTGATGCAAAATTCTTACTAATTTTTTCAAAAAGGAAAATGTATAAATGCTTGAAGCAGGTTTACTGCACTGCTCTTTCATAGAATGTCTTAAGCTCTTTCCCAGATGACATCTTTTTTGCCACTAATCAAAGTGAATAGTCTTGCTGAAAATAAAAACAGATTTCAGTAAAAGGTTAGGATAATAGCTGTTCCTGGATATTGGCTGTAAAAATCTAAAAGCCAAGATTAAACTGGCTGGAATAATAGACTGTCAGTCTTTAAGTATCACCTAGATCAGTTTCCTCACTGACCGAATATGGAAAATGTAACTCAAAAAATTTAAATAACTTTGCTGCATTTACTGAGACAGGCCAGAACTACAACCCTTGTTTCTGAGAAAATTATTTTATTGTGCTATGTAGCAAGATGAAATGCAAGGGGAAATAAAATTTTATGTTTATATTTGTAATATTTAGTAACAGGGACAATGCTAAGCACGTTGGATATATTATCTCAAGGGGAATGGAATTGATATGCAGTAAGATTACATCTCTGTTCAATTATAAATTACCAAATTTTTGAATAAGCAGATATACAAAAATATTGTAATATGACATGTTAAGTGAAGAGTGTGTGGCTATTTTGGATATTTTATTACAATTCCAATAGGAATAGAAATATATAGCAAAGGGAAATCATGAAATAATTGCAAAATAGGCATTATATTTATATTCTGCTGAGAAATGGGAATATTTGATGATAGTTTAAGGCATTTTCTTGAGTTAAAAATATTAAAGCAAATACATAAACATAGACACAGACTTTACATGTCTTACAAATCTTAACTCAAAATGTATCACAACAAACTTAGAAATAAAATGCAAAAGTATAAAACTTCTCAAAGATAATGTAGAAGAAAACCCAGGTGACCTTGAATTTGGCACTGAGTTTTTAGATAACATCAGAAGTGTAATTCAAGAAGGAGCAAATTGATCAATTTGATTTTAGTAAAAATAAAAACTTTTGCTCTGTGCAAGAGAGAGGAGGGGGAGAGGGCTAATCAGGAATAATAGAGGGAGGGTGATCAAGGAACATGTACAAAGGATGCATAGACAAAGCCAAAGGGGGTAGGTTCGAGGGTGGGAGGTGGGGATGGCTGGAGCAAGGGGGCATTATGGGGTAAAAATGGAGAAAACTCACTTGAACAACAATAAAAAATGCTTAAAAAAAGAATGTGAAGAGAACAAAAAGACAATCAACTCCTGAGAGAAACTATTTGCAGAAGACATCTCTGGTGAAGAAATTTTATCCAAAATATGGAAAAATTCTTAAAACTCAACAATAAGAAATTGAAGAACCCAATAAAAATGGGTGAATGAGTTAAACAGAAACATACCTCTTTTGTATACCTACAAAAGTAGGTATACAACTACTTCTGGCAAATAGGCATATGAAAAGAAGCCCAGCATAAGATGTTACTACAGAATTACAAACTATGAGATACCAGTACATACCTTTTAGAATGGCCAAAACCCAAAACACTACCAATACTTTATGGGGTGAGGATATGGAGCAAGAGAACCTCATTTCACTGTGGTGAGATGGTAAAACAATACATCCACTTTTGGAAGACAGAGTTTCTTATAGAACCTAATCTCCACTGTACAATTCAGCAATTGCACTTTTTGGTCTCTACTGATTTAAAAACTTATGTGCACACAAAAAGCCTGCATGAAATATAGCCATTTTATTCTTAGTTTCAAACACTTGGAAGCAACTAAGATGTCCTTTAATAGGTGACTGAATAAACAAACTGTGTACATCTATACAATGGAATATTATTCATTGATAAAAAAAAACGAGCTATCAAGCCAAGAAAACATATGGAAAAAATTTAAATTCATATTCAAGTGAAAGAAGCCAGTCTAAAAAAGCCACTTATTATATGATTTTAACTCTATGACATTCTGGAAAAGGTAAAATTATTGAGACAGTGAGATGAGTGGCTACCAAGAGCATAGAAAAATTTTAGGGCAGTGAAACTGTTCTGTATGATAATGTAATGCTGGATATTACGCCAGATGACATTATATGTTTTGTAAAACCCATAAAACTGTACAACACAAAAAGTGATTGCTAATGTAAACTATGGGATTTAGTTATTAATAATTCATTAATTGTACAAAAAATACCATACTGATGTAAGATGTTAGTGATAGGAGAAACTGTTTTGGGGATGATGAGAGGGGGGTATATGGAAACTCTTTGTGCTCTCTGATGAATTACTCTGTAAACCTAAAACTGCTCTAAAAAATCTATTGAAAATAAAAATTATGTTATTGTGTCCATATGTAGGAACACATTAAGTTTCAATTTAGGTTTACTTATGAAAATGAAAAATCGATATATTAATCATTTTCTTAGTGGGGTTGTATGAGATTTGTCCATAAGGTATCCAGCCATGTAATATGAAAAATTTTGACATTTATTGAAGATATAAGATACAAGAAACACTGTACAATGTTTTGTACAATGAAGCCTCATAAGACAATGAAGCCTTAGTCCTCTTCAAAGTAGGCACTTTTGAGACCTCACACAGTTCTCCCAATCACCATCAGTTGTCCTGTTAAATTTTCCTGAATTTCATCCATGGTCTGAAGTCTCTTCCCTTTCAAAGGTGATTTTAGTTTTCTGAAAAGCCAGAAGTTGCAAGGCACCAAATCTGGGCTATAGGGGGTCTGAGTCACCTGGGTGATTTGATGTTTTGCCAAAAAACTCTGCACAGGACATGATTCATGTGTCAGCATGTTGTTGTGATGAAGGGGCCAATCACCAGTTGTCCGTGGCTCTGGCCTCCTGAATCATCCCAATAATTTCTGAAGAGAAATGCTCAAGCTTAATGCAAAATGTGATGCAAACTCATTGCTCTACTTGCTCATTTTGAATGCGATAGCCACTCAGTACACATGCTCACTCATTGGCATCTACCACCCCCAGTGATTAGTACAGTGAAATTGTCATTGTTCAGGCATGTACACTACAGTCCACTCACCTTGGCTGCCAGGTTCCATCAATGTTGTGCAAACCTTTAACAATAGTAGGACTTTCCCGGGGCAGACTTTGTACTATTTTCATGTATTTGAACAGCTAGATTATTGCCTCCTCTTTCACCCCAATCCTGCTGGTCACAGATGTTACTCTTTTATGTTAATGCTGGCTCAATTTTCTGGTTTTGATCTATTTCACAATTGTGAAAAAGATTCTTATGTGTACCTTTACTTCTCTTGGTAGCTTGATTAGTGTCTCTTGGCAGTAAACATCTTAATCTGCCTCCATCCCACCCCACGCCAGGTCTGTTACTGTGTATTAAAATAAATTCAAACACTCTGAACAGCAGGAATAGTAAAATGAGTATCATAACACACACTGTATAGATTTAATGATTCTTAACCTTTTGCCATATTTGCCTTCTCTGTTTTTCTTAATTTTTAAAAAAGTAAATTATAAATACATTACTTTATAATTGTAAATATATTAGTATGTATCTTTAAAAAATAACAATTTCTTACATCATCCAAATACAAGGGTGAACAAAAATAGGTTTATAGTTGTGAGTATGGGAAACACAGATTTTATTCTTGTATCGTTGCTTATTTATTTATTATTTGCTATTATTAACCTGTTTTTGCCCACTCCGTATAATCACACTAACCAAGGTAATGGTAATTTTTCTCAGTACTTCTAATATCTAGTTCATATTCGTGTTTCCCAAATCGTCTCTTGCATCTGTTGTCTTTCTGATCCGGAACAGATCAAAGAACCACGCTTCTCAATGTGCTGTCTGGACCTAACTCTAATCCCAAAACTCTGTGAATTCCGGTAGTTTCTAGGGGTCAGGTCCAATTGGGTAATGAAGCGGAAACGTTTCAAAAATTACTTTCTTTGGTCTCAAGATTTCATGGGAACTGTAGTCTTGAATGTGTAGACCAACCGCTCAGCCTCTGAGAACGGGGTCACTCTGCGCATGTGCACGTCGATCCTGCCCGACCCTCCGCCCTCCGGGGCCTGAAAGAGACTCGCGGTCCTTACGGTCTGTGTGGAAGCAGAGGCTGTGAACCCGGGGTGAGAGCACTGGGTCCTTGTAGGTCCTTGCAGGTCACGTAGGCGCGTGTCTGGGGAGCGGGAGCGGGCAGTCCTCTTTCCTGGCGGCTGGTGCTGCGAAGTTCCCCACGTCGGCTCCCGCGGCTCAGGTGGGGCTGAGTCCTATTTAGGAAAACGTTTTCCGTGAGGCCCGGTGTGGGGACTGCGGGCGACTAGAGGGGAATGCACCTTTGTGACGCTCACGGTGAACTTAAGGCTACTAATAGTACGTGCAGTTTTTCTGAGAATTAAAAAAGGTGTCATCTGCAAAAGATTTTGTTAAATGTTTGTGTTAATCACTGTGTAAGCTACTATCAAAAGACACTTTGTTCCCTTTGTTTATTTCATTTAACCAACAAGCCTACTTGTCGGTATAAACAGGCCACTTTAAAAAGTGAAAGAACTTTCATGGGGGCGGACTAATACATTCGGGCTCACAAGCTGGTCTTAGATGAGAGGGGTAGGACTCAAATACAGATTTTACTCCCTATCTCTTGCTCTTCCTAATAATTATCCCGGCCCCAAACACAGGGTTGCAACCTTTGGCGCACTCAGCAAAGGGGGCTGTCCCCAAATTCCCAGAGTTATGATAGTGAAGTGAATGAGGACAGAATCTCACCATTTAGCAAGATTATGTGGGACTTGCAGGTTTTCTCCAGAGTCTCTGGGTCAGACTGAGGTTCTTGTGCCTTCCTGCACTATCCAGGCTGTCTCCATGCTCAAAGGCCTAGTCTGATCATCTAATGCAGTGCTGGCCGATAGAAAGATAATGCAAATAGAATATAAAAATAAAATTAAAAAATTTTCAGTAGTAACAGTAAAAAGAAAAGGAGGTAAATTTAATTAATTAATTAATTTTTAATTGTTGTTCAAATACAGTTTTCTGCCTTTTATGCCCATCCCAGCCCACCCCCAGCCCTCCCCACCTCCCTCCTGTTTCCACCCCCTCCCTTGCCCCCCACCCTTGTTTTTGTCCATGTGTCCTTTATACTTGTTCCTGCAAACCCTTCCCCTTTTCCCCTGAAATTCCTTCCCCTCTCCCTTCTGGTCATTGTCAATCCATTCTCAATTTCAGTGTCTTTCGTTATATTTTGCTTGCTTGTTTGTTTTGTTGATTAAGTACCTGTTAAGGGTGAGATCATATGGTATTTGTCTTTCGCTGCCTGCCTTATTTTGCTTAGCATAATCTTTTCCAGTTCCATCTATGCTGTTGCGAAGGGTAGGACCTCCTTCTTTCTTTCTGAGGCATAGAATTCCATTGTGTAAATGTACCGTAGTTTTTTATCCATTCATTTACTGATGGCACCTAGGTTGCTTCCAGCACTTGGCTATTGTAAATTGTGCTGCTATGATCATTGGGGTGCATAGGTTCTTTTGGATTGGTGTTTCAGCATTATTAGGATATAAACCTAGAAGTGGAATTGCTGGGTCAAAATGCAGATCCATTTTTAGTTTTCTTAGAAAATTCCATAATGGTTTGAGCGGACCCCAGCTTGTGGGGTCCGCCACATTGTGGATGAGATGTGCGGCAGTCACATGGATTACTGAGTCCTGTGGAGGAAATGGGCGAGCATGGCTCTTCTCTCAAGGGGAGAAAAAACTGCAGCCCTTGCCATGACCGGCCTTTATTGGGTTTCTCAGCACATTACGTGAGGGTCCTCATTTACTATGCACAGGTTTGCTTTAGGTGGTTACCTTTTACAGAAAGCAAAGAAGCCAATGCCACCAATCACATCACAGAAGATGGATATTTGCAAATGAAAAGGGAAAAGTAGTTGAACTGGTTACACTCATCCTTGGAAGGTTTAGCATAGATTTTAGGAAGTTACTTTGCAGTAAATGTTTTTCTGCCTCAATTCAGGGTGAGGGAGTGTAGCAAAAGCAAGTTTCAAAGTGGCCTAGGTACATTGTAGGCTTGATTCCCCACGGGAGAACCTCTCCGTGGGCGTGGGTCCTGTACATCAGACCTTGCTTTCCACTAGGAGCTGGGCCCATGCCACCCAGAATGGTCTCCTACAGTGGTTGTGCCAGTCTGCAATCCCACCAACAGTGTCACTAGGGTTCCCTTTTCTCCACACCCTCTCCAACACTTGTTGTTTGTTGATTTGTTTACAATGGCCATTCTGACAGGTGTGAAGTGGTATCTCATTGTGGTTTTATTTTGCATTTCTCTGATAGCTATCGATGCTGAGCATCTTTTCACATGTCTCTGGACCCTCTGTATGTCTTCCTTGGAAAAGTGTCTGTTCAAGTCCTTTGCCCATTTTTAATTGTCTTTTTAGAAAGGAGTTGTGTGAGTTTTTTGTATGTTTTGGATATTAAGCCCTGGTCTGAGGTATCATTGGCAAATATGTTTTCCCATACAGTTGTTTCTCTTTTCATGTTAATACTGTTTTCTTTAGCCACGCAGAAGCTTTTTATTTTAATGAGATCCCATTTGTTTATTCTTTCCTTGGTGTCCCTTGCTCTAGGGGACATATCAGTGAAAATATTGCTGCATAGAATATCTGAGATTTTCCTGCCAATGTTCTCCTCTAGGGCTTTAATGGTGTCACAACTTATATTTAAATCTTTTTTTTTCTTTTTTCTTTCTTTCTTTCTTTCTTTCTTTCTTTATTTATTTTTATTGATTATGCCATTACATTTGCTCTATTCCCCCCTCCCTTCCCCTCCACCCTGCATACCCCTCCCCCACCATTTCCCCCTTTAGTTCATGAACATGTGTCTCAAATTCTTTAGATTCTGTATTTCCCCTACTATTCTTACCCTCCCCCTATCTATTTTCTATCTACTGTCTATGCTACTTATTTTCTGTACCTTCTCCCCCCTTCCCCTCCTCCCACTCCCCTGTTGCTAACCCTCCATGAGATCTTCATTTCTATGGTTCTGCTCCTGATCTAGCTATCCTCTTAGTTTGCTTTTGTTTTAGGTGTGGTTCTTAATAACTGTGAGTTTGCTGTCCTTTCACTGTTCATCTTTTTTATCTTTTTTTTCTTAGGTAAGTCCCTTTAACATTTCATATAGTAAGGGCTTGGTGATGATGAACTCCTTGAATTTGATCTTATCTGAGAAGCACTTTATCTGTCCTTCCATTCTAAATGAAAGTTTTGCTGGATAGAGCAATCTTGGTTGTAGATCTTTGGTTTTCATGACTTGGAATACCTCTGTCCAGCCCCTTCTTGCCTGTAAGGTCTCTTTTGAGAAATCAGCTGACAGTCTGATGGGAACTCCTTTGTAGGTGACTGTCCCCTTTGCTCTTGCTGCTTCTAGGATTCTCTCCTTCATTTTAATCTTGGCTAATGTAATTATGATGTGCCTTGGTGTGTTCCTTCTTGAGTCCAACTTCTTTGGGACTCTCTGAGCTTCCTGGATTTCTCGGAAGTCTATTTCCTTTGCCATCTTGGGGAAATTCTCCTTTATTATTTGTTCAAATAATTTTTCAACTGGTGGTTGTGCCTTTCCCCCCTTCTGGTACCCCTATAATTCGGATGTTGGAACGTTTAAAGATGTCCTGGAGGTTCCTAAGCTTCTCCTCATTTTTCTGAATTCTTATTTCTTCATTCCTTTCTGTTTGATCATTTTTTTCTTCCGTCTGGACCTCTCCCTTGATTTGAGTCCCAATTTTCTTTCCATTACTATTGGTATCTTTTGTATCAGCATTCATTTCAATTAATTTAGCTTCCATATGTTTCTCTAATTTGTGACTAAAATCCACCAGTTCTGTAAGGATCTTTATAACCAGTGTTTTGAACTGTGCATCTGAAAGACTGGCTATTTCTTCATCACTTAGGTCTATCGGTTCTGGGGCTCTGAGTTGTCCTAGAGCCATTTTTGGTCTATTCGTGCTGTTAAGTGAGCGGAGCGAAGCCTTAGTTGTTTACCAGGACGGGGCGACCCAGGTTGCTGGTTTGTGACGCTGTGTGTGGGGGCGGGGTCAGAGAGGGAGCAATGGCGTTCCTCTCCGCTAGCCCAGCGCATCCAGTCACTCACTCGCCTCGGGCTTGCTTATCCGATCCTAATTGTGCGAGCCTGCTGCACCGCGCGGGTTTCCCTTCTCACTGGTTTCTCCGCACGTAAATGCGCACGACCGACTGACCCACCGCACCTCTTCCCTGTGCGCTCCGGCAGCCAGCTCGCTGGCAATCAGCGCCCTCGGTTGCCTGCATGCACCGCGCACCGCCCCGGGAATTTTTTCTTGCTAACCTGCTCCGCTGCTGGCCTCGCTCCTCGTACCGGTCCAGCTGAGTATCTAGTTGTCCTTTGGACTCCGTATTGTCGATTTTCCGTGTGGCTTGGTTGTGACTGCTGTTAAAAATAGTTGTTCTTAGATTTGGTTGTGCACAGAGGTGAGGTGGATCCTCCACCTACTTCTCCATCTTGGTGGAAGTCATATTTAAATCTTTTATCCACCTTGAATTTATTTTGGTGTATGGTGTAAGTTGGTGCTTGAGTTTCATTTTTTTGCATGTAGCTGTCCAGTTCTCCCAACATCATTTGTTGAAGAGCCTATTTTTACTCCATTTTATGTTGCTGCCCCCTTTGCCATATATTAATTGACTGTAGAGACTTGGGTTTACTTCTGGGCTCTCTGTTCTGTTCCACTGGTCCGTGTGCCTGTTTTTATGCCAGTACCAAGCTGTTCTGACTACAGTGGCCTTGTAATACAGTTTGGTACCAGGTATTGTGATCCCTCCTACTTTGTTCTTCTTTCTCAAACTTGAAGCAGCTATTTGGGGTCATTTATGATTCCATATAAATTTTTGAAGTGTTTGTTCTATGTCTGTGAAGTATGCCATTGGTACTTTAGTAGATATTGCATTTAATCTGTAAATTGCTTTGGGTAGTATGGACATTTTGATGATGTACTTCTTCTGATCCTTGAACATGGTATATGTTTCCATTTGTTTGTATGTCTTCCTTGATTTCTTCAGTGTTGTATAGTTTTTTAAGTACAGCTCTTTTGGAGTGAAGTTAATTTTAATGATGCATTTAATTTAATACAGTAGCCGCACTTCAGGTGCAGTAGTTGCATGCAAAAGGGTCAGGTTTCTAATGTTAGATGAAAGTTTCAAATAATGTGAACTTGTTTCTCAGGCTCAGGTCCCAGTCCCTCTGGAGGAAAGTAACTCTTCAAAGTCAGGAAAGAGGGAGCCCCAGGAACAATTGCCCCTGGGAAGAACCACCTTTCTGACAGACCCCTCACCAGAGCTTCAGTGCAGAGGCAGAAGTTTCTAGAAAGGAATCGATCTTGATTTGCCCCACTAAAAGAAGTTCTTAATCCCTGGGTGGCATGAGTCACACTTGGTGATGTTGCCACATCCAGAAGCCATCACAGATTGTGTGACAGTAGAAACCTGCAGAAGGGAACTTGGAGTTTAGAGGGATGGGTTACCGTTAGGCTGCACAGGAAAAGGCACTTCAGTGGATGGCTGGTGAGTACAGGTGTCTGGGGAAGGTGTAACCAGCCAGAGCTGAGAAAATTCTAAACAATGTGTTGGGTTTTTTATTCTGCCCTCCAGATTCTGAGCTGCTCTAACACCTTGTTCATCACCACATATGGCATCTAGAGTTATGCCAATGCTCCCTCTTTCCTGAACATAGGGATACCAAAATGATAGTAGAAGGGTTTTCTATATTGGACATCTTTGGAAGCCTAAAAATGCTGGGCCAAAAATGAATGATTTTTGTAGTCACCCAGGGCGAAACCAAACAGCAGCAGTGCAGTACTGTTTACTCACATGGATAAGTTCTATAAACATCTTATAAAAAGGTCTTTTTTAGAAACTACAACCAGTTAAGAACAAATATTCAAACAAATACATTTCTTACATAAAGTGTTCCATCTTTATTGCAGAGTTTTCTGTGGAAACTAACTCAAGATGTAAATACAAGAACTTGATTTAATCCAAGTAGTTTTTTGACATTAGCATTTTTTTCTTTTTTAAATATATTTTATCGATTATGTCATGACAGTTGTTCCATTACGCCCCTTAATTCCCTTCCACCCTGCACATTCCCTCCCCTCCCACATTCCCCCCCTTTAGTTCATGTCTATGTGTCATAAGTTCTTTAGCTTCTACATTTCCCACACTACTCTTGCCCTACCCCATTTTCTCCCCACCATCTATGCTACTTATTCTCTGTATCTTCTCCCCCTCTCTCCTCCTCCCACTACCCTGTTGCTAATCCTCCATGTGATCTCCATTTCTGTGGCTCTGCTCCTGATCTAGCTGTTGGTTTGGTTTGCTTTTGTTTTAGGTGTGGTTGTTAATAGCTGTCAGTTTGTTGTCCTTTCACTGTTCATATTTTTATCTTCTTTTTCTTAGATAAATCCCTTTAGTATTTCATATAAAAAGCACTTGGTGATGATGAACTCCTTGAACCTGACCTTATCTGAGAAGCACTTTATCTGCCCTTCCATTCTAAATGAAAGCTTTGCTGTATAGAGTCATCTTGGATGTAGGTCCTTGCATTTCATGACTTGGCATAGTTCTTTCCAGCCCCTTCTTGCCTGTATGGTCTCTTTTGAGAAATCAGCTGACAGTTTGATGGGAACTCCTTTGTAGGTGACTGTCCCCTTATCTCTTGCTGCTTCTAGAATTCTCTCCTTCATTTTAATCTTTGGTAATATAATTATGATGTTCCTTGGTGTGTTTTTTCTTGGGTCCACTTTTTTTAGGACTCTCCGAGCTTCCTGGAAGTCTATTTCCTTCGTCAGATTGGGGAAGTTCTCCTTTATTATTTGTTCAAATAAGTTTTCTACTTGTTGCTCTTCCTATTCCCCTCTGGTACCCCTATTCAGATGTTGGAATGTTTAAGATGTCCTGGAGGTTCCTAAGCCTCTCCTCATTTTTTTGAATTCTTCTGTCTTCATTCTTTTCTGTTTGGTTGTTTCTTTCTTCCTTTTGGTCCACTCCATTGTTTAGAGTTCCAGTTTCCTTTCCATCACTATTGGTTCCCTGTGCATTTTCCTTCATTTCACTTAGTGTAGCCTTCATTTTTTTCATCTAATTTACAACCAAAATCAACCAATTCTGTGAGCATCCTGATCACCAGTGCTTTGAACTTTGCATCTGATAGGTTGGCTCTCTCTTGGTTGCTTAAAAGTATTGGCTCTGGGCCTTTGATTTGTTCTTCTGCTTGAGCCATAAAGTTTTGGTCTGTTATGTAGTGAGGGGTGGAGCCTTCGGTGTTCACCAGGGCAGGGCAACCCAGTAGCTGGGTTGTGATGCTGTATGTGGGGGTGGGGTCAGAGAGGGAACAGTTGTGCTTGCTCTGCTCTCTCTTGGATTTCAGTCCCCTCTGCCCCTTCCTATAAGCAAATTGAGCCCTTCTGGTGCTGGTTCCTGGGTGTGTGAGCTTGTGTACATTGTAGGACCCTGTGGGTCTCCCCAGCAAACTCTCCCTTGGGGCTGGGAGTCTCTCCTGGCACCTCAACCCAGCAAGTTTTTTCAATTGGTGCTTTTAGGCTTTATTTCCTTTCTCTGGGGCCCTGGGTTGCTCGGTCTGTCTCACTGCCCACTTTTTGCCTGGCTTATCTGCTTGCCAATGTGTGACCCCGGTCAGCCAGCTGTCTTGCACGCCTCACTGGGTCTGCTCGATTCCTCCCCCTGCCCAGGTCTCCCAACCACCACTTTTCCCTGCTGCGACCCCTCTCCACCTGCCACTGACTCTGCCCCTCTTACCGATCTGGATGAATGGCTCATTATTGGGCTTCCATACAGTTCAATTTTCTGTCTGTTCTGGTTGTGTTTTTGTTTGTACATCTTTGTTGTCCTCAAATTTGGTTGTGCAAGGAGGAACAGTGTTTCCACCTACACCTCCATCTTGGCTGGAAGTCCTCGACATTAGTTTTAACAAAGGTAGAGGGTTTCACCTCTGGTGTACCTGAATTTATTTAACAAATCATCTGTTTTATTTACTTATGAAAAATTTCTTTTGTTTTAATTTGTCAGAAGGGAGCGTAAATTGTTAATTCATTGACAGAAAGCAATTTACCTTAGTGAAAATGCAAGGTTAAGCACACATGATCATATTAGAGATGCTCGTGTTCAGGTGGTGCTACCTCTGTGTGGTTCTTCCTTTTCCTTCTCAAAAATGTCAAAGGGCCATTCTTCCATAGGGAAGCCTTTTCTCCACCTGGTGTTTTGAAGTTTTTAGGCAGATGAATATAGGATGCGTAAGGCAGACCAGGTTTCTTTCTCATGACCCAATTTCTCTTTCCCCCTCCCCAGCTGGACCTTCACATTTTTTTTTCCTTTTTGTAGGAGCAGCAGAAAATGAACATAGCTCAGGTGAGTTTATTTTTTTAATAAACTTTATTTTACAATGGATTTTATAAGGGCTTAAGTGTGTTTCTGTTAACATGGAAATAGAAATAGAAATGGATCAGATACATTCAGAGAAGATACAGAAATACAAATGAATAGCAGAGTTGACATGTGGATATATGCAGATTTTCTGGTACTACAAATTTACCAAATTTATTTCTTAGGTTTCCAGTGTCTGTGTCACAGTGTCAGACAATGCTTCTTTAAAGGCTGACATGGGTGAGAAGATAAAGCAAACTAATTCATCAGAGAATTTAAAGACAATTGAAGATAAAAATAACCTTTGTTGTTTCCGAGTAGGTGATTTAGTTAAAATTTTTCCAGTAATAACCCTAAAGTAATATAGAGTGCTGCCTCTACTCATTCTTCAATGAAAGTAGAAAACTTAATGCTATATGTAAATTTAGTCACTACTATTTTTCAGAAACTCAAACACAGAGGTTAAGATATTTTGCTGATGAATCGACTAAGTATCCTTAAAATTACTCTGCATTAATATATATGTTGAGTACCTATGCATGTATGTGGCCTTCTAGATTATCAGGAATATTCCCCAGCATTTCCTTTTAAGGTTCTTTATTGACCATTGTTTGCCCCAGCTATTATCCATTACCTCAGGTAGCCACTAAGTTAAACCAATGTTTTTAAATGTTTTGACAAATGCCTCTGAGTATAGACTATTTGCACCATGTAAGCTCCAAGTCAACTATAGTTCAAATAAAGACATCCTTGTAAGTGGGGTCTTTTAGAGAACCTCTAAGTGGGCCAAATGATGACCGTTTTCTGGGAATGAGGTGGTTTTTTTTTTTTTTAATTCTAACCTGAGGACATGCTTATTGATTTTAGAGAGATGGGAAGGGAGGGAGAGCAACATCAGTGTTAGAAACATTTATTGGTTACCTCTTCTATGTGCCCTGACCAGGGACTGAATCCACAACCCAGGCATGTGCCCTGACCAGATACTGAAACTGCGACAGACATTTTCAGTTTACAGCACAATGCACCAACCAAGTGAGCCACACTGGCCACAGTATGGGAATGAGGTTTTGATGGAACTCCAACCCGCTTGTAGTTGCCAGGATGCTGGTTGCAGACTGTTGGTTGTCAAACTACATCAGAGCTGGAGAGAGAGGGATAGGAATAGGGTAAATTATACAGACACAATGTAGCTGTTTTTCCTGTATATTTCCACAGGGGGCATTTGTTAACTTGTATCATTTTTGCCAGTTTTTTCTTTGCTTTTGTGGAGGAGAGAATTTTCTGAGATCTGTGTTTTAACATTTTCACCTACATCACTTGTTAGCTTAATTTAAAAAAATCCAGCTGATTTTTATTAAATCAGATATTAAAGAAATTGGCCAAAAAATAGGGGGAAAAGCCAATTTTCTCAGTAATGTTTTAGTTTTACAAAATATAGTTAAATTTCTTTTTTTTCTAATTTATTTTTTTAATTGATTATGCTGTTACAGTTGTTCTATTCCCCCTTTATTCCCCTCCACCCTACCCCTCATCCCCACCATTACCCCCCCTTTAGTTTATGACCATGTGTCTCAAGTCCTTTAGATTCTATATTTCCCATGCTATTCTTGCCCCCCCCTATTTTCTATCTACTGTCTATGCTACTTATTTTCTGTACCTTCTACCCCCTTCTCCTCCTCCCACTCCCCTGTTGCTAACCCTCCCTGAGATCTTCATTTCTATGTTTCCACTCCTGATCTAGCTGTCCTTTTAGTTTGCTTTCGTTTTAGGTGTGGTTGTTAATAACTGTGAGTTTGTTGTCCTTTCACTGTTCATGTTTCTTTAACTTCTTTTTCTTAGATAAGTCCCTTTAACATTTCATATAATAAGGGCTTGGTGATGATGAACTCCTTGAATTTGATCTTATCTGAGAAGCACTTTATCTGTCCTTCCATTTTAAATGAAAGTTTTGCTGGATAGAGCAATCTTGGTTGTAGGTCTTTAGATTTCATGACTTGGAATACCTCTTTCCAGCCCCTTCTTGCCTGTAAGGTCTCTTTTGAGAAATCAGCTGACAGTCTGATGGGGACTCCTTTGTAGGTGACTGTCCCCTTAGCTCTTGCTGCTTCTAGGATTTTCTCCTTCATTTTAATCTTGGCTAATGTAATTACGATGTGCCTTGGTGTGTTTCTTCTTGGGTCCAACTTCTTTGGTACTCTCTGAGCTTCCTGGATTTCCTGGAAGTCTATTTCCTTTGCCAGATTGGAGAAATTCTCCTTTATTATTTGTTCAAATAATTTTTCCACTGGTGGTTGTGTCTTTCCCCCTTCTGGTACCCCTATAATTCGGATGTTGGAGCGTTTAAAGATGTCCTGGAGGTTCCTAAGACTCTCCTCATTTCTTTGAATTCTTGCTTCTTGACTCTTTTCTGTTTGGCCATTATTTGCTTTCTTCTGGTCCACTCCATTGATTTGAGTCCCAGTTTCCTTTTCATTGCTATTGGTGTCCTGTGCAATTCCATTCATTTCAATTAGTTTCGCCTTCATATATTTGTCTAATTTGTCGGTATAATCAACCAGTTCTGTGAGGATCCTGATCACCAATGTTTTAAACTGTGCGTCTGTGAATTTTGCTATTTCTTCATCGCTTAGATCTATTGGCTCTGGGGCTCTGAGATCCATCTGCGCCATTCTTGGTCTGTTCGGGCCCTTTAAGTGTGAGAAGGGGCGCCTTGGATTCCCAGGTCGCTGGGTTGTGACGCTGTATGTGGGGGTGTGGCCAGAGCGGGGAAATGGCGACCCCCTCTGCCGCTTCTCACAGCTGGGTGCGGAGGAGCAGTGCCTTAGGTGGTTCACCTGGGCTGGGCCACTCAGAGTCACTGGGTTATGACGCTGTATGTGGAGGTGGGGTCAGAGCAGGGAAATGGCGGCGCCCTCCACTGCTGCTTGCTGTGGGGACCTGCCCGCCCGGTCCAATCGCCCACTCCCTCGCCTGTCCACCCTCGCACAAATGCGCGACCTCAGTCAACACGCAGCCCTGGGCCCGGCTGTCTCCCCTGCGGTCGCTTGCCTGGTTGCTCGCTGGGTCGCTCGCTAGGTCTGACCCTGGGCCTGGATTCCGCGGGCCTGAGTGTGTCTGGCCGAGTCCTCCTGTGCAACCCTGCTCCGCCAGCCGCTGGTTTCGCCCCTTACCGGTCAGGCTGAAGAATTTGTTGTTAACGGACATGCGAAAAGTTCAATTTTCCGTGTTCTGGCTGTGTTTTCTGTTGCTAATATTTAGTTTTCTCTAATCTTGGTTGTGTGAGAAGGCACGGCACATCCACCTATGCCTCCATCTTGGCGGAAGTCCCAGTTAAATTTCATTTATAATTTTTAGATTAAAATAAATTTAATGAGAGGTGTTTCTGTTCTTTTATTTATTTGTTTTAATTCACAGGTACTAGTACTAAGCTTCATATAGAGGTGGTATTTACTCAGTAATGCTGAAGACATGAATGAGATTATAACTGGATACAAAATAGTGGGAGAAAACTTGTTTCTGTCCTCTTACCTCTTAATCTACTTCAGATTCTATTTTTTAATTGTGATAAGAACACACCATGAGATCTACTCTTTTAACCAGTTTTTGTGTGTACATTCAGTATTGCTAACTAGAGGCACAATATTGTACAGCAGATCTCTAGAGCTTAATATTTCTCACAAGGGGAACTTTATACTCCTTGAATAGCAACTCTCCACTTCTCCTTCCCAGTCCCTTTGAGATCTTTTGTTGTAGAAACTTTCCCTTTTTTTTGTTTTCCAAGATTCTGCTCTTCATGGTTCTATTCTTACTTTTTAAAAAAGTTCCCTGGCTTTGTGGCCAGTACTTTTATTGCCATCCTCTTTAGTATTCATGCTTTCTCAAATGCTGTTTTTACTACTTGCTCAATTTCTGCGTGCTCAAATTGCTGTCTGACTGCCTCTGAAATTTCAGTTAACCTCCTATATTGTTAGTAATTCCTTAGGGTTGTCTTCATCCTAGAGCTCCTTTTTGTGTTTTAATACTATGTGTATATTAGTTTAAGGGACTATTCCAACTTTACATTCCATAGAACTTTCAGTAGCAATATGAACAGATGTGTCACACTAGAAATTCTAATATACTTTTTTCCTTTTTTGTCCCAAATACCAGTATTTGGTACCAGCATTCGAGAAACAGCCCAATATTGCTAGACTGGGTAGCTATATAATAAAGAAGTTATTAAACTGGTTGCTGCTTCTGTCCTATCACTGTAGCCTTTGTTGTTACTTTAGTGTAGATAGTATTCTCTTATACTGGTCTCTCTGATTCCAACTCTTTGGTAAGTTGTTCTTTGCATGAGTTCCAGATTTATCTGTCTTATACATTTATTTATATGTAAGTTCACAGCTTACATGTATTCTTCCTTGCTGCCATTATTTATGGTAATAATGTCCAAGGCGAGATTGAACATCCTAGAATTCTAGAATAATTAGAATAATTCCTTGGGATGTAGAAAAAGAATTGTAGGAAGTGTCTTTACACTGAATTCTTTTGTCTTAAAAACTATAATTCATAAATACAAATGAATTATGGCACATTAAAAACCTTTTTAACTAACTATATAACCCCAAAGTTAAAGATAAATTAGGTCAAAATATGACATTCTTTATATCTGTTTTAAAGCCTTAAGAGTATGTAGAAAAAGAGTTGTTCTCAAAGATATTTTATTTGTCACATAATTCTGAACTTTTGAACAAAATATGTTATTACAGGGACCAGTGTCATTCAAGGACGTGACTGTGGAGGTCACCCAGGAAGAGTGGCAATGGATGGACTCTACCCAGAGGACCCTGTACAGAGAAGTGATGCTGGAGACCTATAGCCACCTCATCTCTGTGGGTGAGCTGACCTTACCCTGTGAGACCTTATCCTGTGTTTCCCTCTGTAATACATTTCCTTTTTAAAAAAATTATCAGAACACCTAGACCCTTTATAGAGATGAATGTTTAGGCTTTTGATTAAGAGTCCTGAGTAACAAACCTTTAGAGAAATAGAAACAATTTTTGTATCATTACTTTCCCATTAAAAACTGCAAACAGGTACTTTTTGCTCTTGCTATTGTATCTTTCTCTACCTTCAAAAACTAAAAAGCCCATGAATCTGGTCCATATGTACCTTCGATTGTTATGTCCACAGGGTATTGTGTTATCAAACCCCAGGTGATCTTCAAGTTGGAGCAAGGTGAAGATCCCTGGTCCTTAGAGGAAGAATTCCTAAACCAGAGAAACCCAGGTGAGTGAGCTCAGACAGAAGGAACCTCCTGGGGTACTTAGCCCACAGAGGGAAGTACTTTTTTTTTTTTTTTAAATTTATATATTTTTAGAGATTTTATTTATTTATGTTTAGAGGGGAAGGGAAGGAAAGAGGGAGAGAAATATCAGTGTATGGTTTCCTCTCATGCATCCCATGCTGGGAACTGGCTTGCAACCCAGGCATGTGCCCTGACTGGGAATCGAACCGTGATTCTTTGGTTCGCAGGCCTGTGCTCAATCCACTGAGCTACACCAGCCAGGGCCAATAGATACATTTTTTTTTTTAAATTGATTATGCTGTTACAGTTGTTCTATTCCCCCCTTCATTCCCCTCCACCCTGCCCCCCATCCCCACCATTACCCCCCTTTAGTTTATGTCCATGTGTCTCAAGTCCTTTAGATTCTATATTTCCCATGCTATTCTTGCCCCCCCCCCATCTATTTTCTATCTACTGTCTATGCTACTTATTTTCTGTACCTTCTCCCCCCCATCTCCTCCTCCCACTCCCCTGTTGCTAACCCTCCTTGAGATCTTCATTTCTATGTTTCCACTCCTGATCTAGCTGTTCTTTTAGTTTGCTTTCGTTTTAGGTGTGGTTGTTAATAACTGTGAGCTTGTTGTTCTTTCACTGTTCATGTTTCTTTAACTTCTTTTTCTTAGATAAGTCCCTTTAACATTTCATATAATAAGGGCTTGGTGATGATGAACTCCTTGAATTTGATCTTATCTGAGAAGCACCTTATCTGTCCTTCCATTTTAAATGAAAGTTTTGCTGGATAGAGCAATCTTGGTTGTAGATCTTTAGATTTCATGACTTGGAATATTTCTTTCCAGCCCCTTCTTGCCTGTAAGGTCTCTTTTGAGAAATCTGCTGACAGTCTGATGGGGACTTCTTTGTAGGTGATTATCCCCTTAGCTCTTGCTGCTTCTAGGATTCTCTCCTTCATTTTAATTTTGGCTAATGTAATTATGATATGCCTTGGTGTGTTTCTTCTTGAGTCCAACTTTTTTGGTACTCTCTGAGCTTCTTGGATTTCTTGGAAGTCTATTTCCTTTGCCAGATTGGGGAAATTTTCTTTTATTATTTGTTCAAATAATTTTTCCACTGGTGGTTGTGTCTTTCCCCCTTCTGGTACCCCTATAATTCGGATATTGGAGCGTTTGAGTCCCAGTTTCTTTTTCATCTCTATGGGTTTCCTGTGGAATTCCATTCATTTCCCTTAGTTTAGCCTTCATATGTTTCTCTAATTTGTGGCTATAATCCACCAGATCTGTGAGGATCCTGATGACCAGTGTTTTAAACTGTGCGTCTGAGAGTTTTGCTATTTCTTCGTCGCTTAGATTTATCTCTGGGGCTTTGAGGTCTTCCTGAGACATTTTTGGTCTGTTCTGGCCCTTTAAATGTGAGAAGCAGCGCCTTGGACTCCCAGGTCGCTGGGTTGTGACGCTGTATGTGGGGGCGTGGTCAGAGCGGGGAAATGGCGGCGCCGCGCGCCACGGCGACCGGAGACCGCAGGGCCCGGTCCAACCGCCCACTCCCTCGCCTGTCCGCTCGCCCGCAGACAGGCAACCACAGTCAACACGCAGCACCGCCTCCCCACTGTCTCCTCAGCAGTCGCTCACCCGGTGGGTTGCTCGGTCGCTCGCTAGGTCCAATCCTGCGTTTGGAACCCGTGCGTCTGGATTCGCGTGTCTGGATTCCGCGCCTGGGTCCGTCCGACCGGAGTCCTGTGCAACTCCTCACGAGACGCCGGTTTCGCCCCTTACCGGTCGGGCTGAAGAATTTGTTGTTAACGGACTTCCGAAAAGTTCAATTTTCCGTGTTCTGGTTGTGTTTTCTGATGCTAATATTTAGTTGTCCCTATACTTGGTTGTGTGAGAAGGCACGGCACATCCACCTATACCTCCATCTTGGCGGAAGTCCAGAGGGAAGTACTTTGATAGTTGTTTTTCCTTTTAAAAAAATATTTTCTTTCTTTATTTTTTAGAGAAAGGGGAAGGGAAGAAGAAACAGTGGGAAAGAAAAATCAATGTGTGGCTGCCTCTCATGTGTCCCCTACTGGGGACCTGGCCTGCAACCCAGGCATGTGCCCTGACTGGGAATCGAACCAGCGACCTTTTGTTTCACAGGCCTGTGCTCAGTCCACTGAGCTACACCAGCCAGGGCAGTTGTTTTCCCTTTTAAACAGTTTTATTGGGATATAATTCACATAACATATATTTCACCTATTTAAAGTATACAATTCAGTGGCTCTTATTATATTCATATATATATGTAAACACCACAGTCAGTTTTCTTTAACTCAGAGAAACCCCATCTCATTTAGCTATTATTACCTCCCTATCTTCTGGCCTGTCCATTTTCAGCAACCATTAATTTACTTTCTGTCTCCATAGATTGGGCCATTCTGGACATTTCATGTAAATGGAATCACACATTATATGTTTTTTGTGATTATAAGGTTAATATTGTAGCATATATTAGCATTTCATACTTTTTATGGAAAAATAATATTTCATTGTCTGGCTATACCACATTTTGTTCATTCATCATTCAGTGGACATATGGGATCCTACCTTTTGGCTGTTACTGAGTAATGCTGATATAATCACTCATTTACAGTTTTGTGGGTTTTTTAGGATTTTATTTTTTATTTTTAGGGAAGGGAGGGAGAAACAGAGGGAGAGAAACATGGGTGTATGAGAGAAGCATTGATCAGCTGCCTCTCATGTGCCCCCACCTGGGGACCTGGTCTGCAAGCCAGGCATGTGTCCTGGGTTGATTGAACTGGTGGCCTTTGGGTTCATAGGGTGCCACTCAGTCCACCAAGCCTCACAAGCCAGGGCCATTTACAAGTATTCATAGGGATGTATGTTTTTATTTCTCTTGAGTTTATAGATAGGAGCGGAACTGCTGGGTTTTATGGTAGATCTGTGAAATTGCCAGACTGTTTTCCAAAGTTGCTGTACCATATTACATTCCTAATGGTAACACTTGAGGACTCTTGATTTCTCCACATCTTCACCAGCACTTAATATCTGACTTTTTGATTGCAGCCATCCTGGTGAATGAGTGTGAAGTGCTTAATCATTGAGGCTTTGATATGCATTTCTGTATTAGCTAGGCTGGCATAACAAAATACCACAGCCTAGGTGGCTTAAGTAATGTATTTCTTACTGTTCTTTTTTTTTAATCCTTACCTAAGGATATGTTTATTGATATTAGAGCAAGAGAGAGAGAGAAACATTGATGTGAGAGAGAAACATCCATTAGTTGCCTTCTTGTATGTGCCCCAGTTGGTGATCAAACCTGCAACCTAGGTATGTGCCCAGACAGGGGATCAAACCTGCAAATTTTTGATGTGTGGGACAGTACTCCAACCAACTGAGCCACCTGGCCAGGCTACTTCTCACAGTTCTGGAGGCTGAAAGTTCAAGATCAGGGTGCCAGCAAGGTTGATTTCTGGTGACGCCCCTCTTCCTGACTTATAGATGAGCACCTTCTCACATGGCCTTTCTTCTGTGCTCCCATGGAGAGAGAAAGAGCTATGATGTCTCTTCCTATTTTTATTAGGATAGTAGTTCTATAGAATTAGGGCCCACCTTTATGACCTCATTTAATCTTAATCACCCTTTTAAGGGACTTATCTCTAAATACAGTTACATTGGGGATTAAGGCTTCAAAATACAAATTTTTAGGGGGGGTGCAATTTAGTCCCTAAAGAGTTTCTCTGATGACTCATAACACCAACCATTTTTTCATGTGCTTATTGGCCTTTGTCTAAATTAATAAATAATTCCAGAAATTTCAGAAGTCATAATTTCAGTATAATTCCTCAAGAAAAAAAGTAAAATCATTTTCTGTGTTTTCACTGAAAGTTTCTGTTGTGAATTCATTTAAACAGGTAGTTTAACATAAAGGTTGACATAATTTAGATCAAGCATATTTCCCAATCACTAAATGTAAACAGTTTGATCATACTGATCGGCTAAAACAGATATCCCTAAATAAGTATCTTAGAAAAAATTACAATAAAAGAATGGTAAAGTTATTAATGCAATAAAAATAAAATAATTTAGGGTTTAATCTTGTATTATTCAGATTTTAATATAGATAATAAATTCCTTAACTTAAAAGAAGGCCCTCTTGTGCAAGAGCACAGGTTAATGTAAACCTTTAAGCATTTGAATGGCTGCACCAAATAATGATATCAATGATCATAAAACCCCAAATAGATGTCTAAGAACATAAAATTCACTTGGGTTAGGAGATCATATTATACAGTAAGTGTTTATTAACATCGTTGATAGGGTTTTGGATACTGATTTTAAGTGTAATGACCTAAAATGAAACCACCTTTATTATAGACTAATTGATATAAACAAGAGTTAAATTCCTACAGCAAAAACATTACCAAACTCTAAATAAAGATCTAAAATACTTTCTGTATTAAAAATTGATATGTGAGCTGTACATACATTTAAGAAAAATTAATCATTGTTTTTCAGCCTGCTCATTCCAGTTCACTGTTGCAGGTGGCCGAAGCTTAACCAGGCAGCTTAAGGTGAGATGCCATCGTAGGGTGTACTTACACACTACACAAACTGGGGGCAGGGTAGATGCTTCAGTTCACCTAATATGCACATCTTCAGATGTGAAAGAAAACCAGAATACCCTGATGAAACCACACAGACAGAGGAGAACATACCAACTGCACACAGACAGTGGCCCTGGCCCAGAATTGATTTTTTTTCTCATCAGTTTATAACGAAATGACATTTAATGAAAGGAAGTTATTTGAGGACCTTCTGTACCTCATCTGATAAAATAATAAGCACTGTGGATACTAAATAACTATGCCTGTATTGGACATAAATGATATATGTATTAAAGTGAACCATATGTTTGTGTATAAGTATGCTGAAATCAAAGGACAAGTCTTTCAGGTTCCCATCAAATAATCATGGGGTAGTATAAATACAGTTTTAGTTTATAAAAAAAAAAGCACCAATAAATTCACCAAGTTAGCATCATCACAAATAATATTCTCTCAACATAGTTTATTTGATAAATGTAGATGTTAATGGTAAAATGAGTAAACAAAAACATTGATAGGGAAATTTTTCAAAGTGTCTCTTTTAAATAATGTATAAAAAGAAATGAAATCCAAAATTGCATGACACTTATAAAATGCTAAAAATAAATGCATATATTAGAAACCTTAGGATACAGGTAAATTAGTGAACAGAGATAAATATTATATGAATTAATTACCTAAGAATAATAATAAGAATATACTAATGAAAGTAGTAATAAACTGGAAAACTGAAAAATAAAACAATAAAGTAGATGAAACTTTAGCTAATCCTAACAAAGACAAAGGAAAATATAGTGAAATTTATGTAAAAGTTCAAGTGGAAATTCTTAATAAAGATTTAATATCAAACCAAGATCCCATTCATAAAGAGTGATGTGGGAGGACTTGCTCTACCAGATATCAGGGATATGTGTAAAGCTTGGAGTAGTTAAGTAATATGCAATGCGAGGGGGTGGGGATGGGCTTTGAGATAGTTTAATAAATTAGTGAAAGAGAGCTCGAGAAAAAACATGCTTTATAGACAATTGGTTTTTGGCAGATGGCACTATCCCCACAGAACAGGGGGGAAAGAGTCCTGAAGTAACCATATGGATCAAAACAAAAAGTAGGATTTAGGTGGCTTAAACCTGATTTTCAAAGCAAAAGTAGAAATATTCTAAATGATGATAAGGAAAATATGTTCATGACTGTGCTTAGGGAAGGAGTTAATAAGATATAAAAAGCATTAACCAGAGGAATGATGTAGTAAATATGTTCCTTCCTTCTTAGTCACTAAGTGCAGATGGAAAGAAGAATGAAGATGAACTATGTACACTGGCACCTGATAAAATACAGGGTGGTTAGTATTACAGAAGGCTGGTGGGAGCCTGATCTCTCTTACCCCTGGCCAGTATTAATATAGCCAGTATAGGTTCCTAAGACTCTTCTCATTTTTTGGAATTCTTGTTTCTTCATTCCGTTCTGGTTGACTGTTTATTTCTTCCTTCTGGTCCAAATCATTGATTTGTGTCATGGTTTCCTTCCCGTCACTGTTGGTTCCCTGTACCTTTTCCTTTATTTCACTGTTCATAGCTTTTACTTTTTTCTCTGTTTTGTGACCATACTGAACTAATTCTGTGAGCATCCTGATTACCAGTATTTTGAACTGTGCATCTGATAGGTTGGCTATCTCTGTGTCACTTAGTTGTATTTTTTATGGAACTTTGATCTGGTCTTTTCATTTTTTGTCTCTGCATGTGTATTACATAGTAAGGAGCAGAGCCCCTTACATAGTTTGGTGTTCACCAGGACTGGGCAACCACAGCACCATATGTGGCGAAGGGGTCAGAGAGGGAACAGTGTCACTTGGTCAGCTCTCTGTTGGCTTTTTTTGGGGGGTGGGGGGGTCACTTATGTTGCTACCAGGTGTGTGGTTTGGGGTATGTTCTAGGACCCTGTGGGTCTCTCCATTGAACTCTCCTGTGAGGTTGGGAGTTTCTCCTGCCACTTCAACCCTCATGTGTTTTTTCAGTCAGAGGTTTTGAGGTTTTATTTCTCCACACTGGAACCCTGGGTTGTGTCATCTGTCTCGCTCCATAGTTGTTCCTCCCTGTTTATCTGCACGCAAATGTGGGACCACCCACTCTGCCAGCTGCTGCCTTATCTAGTTCACCAGCCACCTTGCCCACCCCAGTCCTCTAGCCACTGCCTTGCTGCAAGTTCCCTCCATCCAGCTGCCTCTCTCTGCCCCTCCTCCCGGTCTGGATGAATGTTTCTTCTTCAACTCCTTGATTGTTGGACTTCCATTCAGTTTGATTTTCTGGAAGTTGTGGGTTTTTTTGTGTTTAAATTTGTTGTTGTCCTTTTGGATGTGTAAGGAGGCAGTGTGTCTACCTATGCCTCCATCTTGGCCAGAAGTCCATTTCTTGATATTTTTTAAAAAGCACGCTGGCATTTCAGCTTGGATTGCATTAAATCTGTAGATCAAATTAAAGAGAATTGACATGTATAAGATACAGAGCATTCTAATCTATAAATAATATTTACATCTCTATTTAGGATTTATTTAATTAGTTTTCAGCCTACAGATACCAGTTTGTGTGTATGTGTGGGGGTATTAGCACAATGGTAAATTATGTTATGTATCTGATTTCAAATTCCAGTTAATTATTATTTGTATATTACCGGCTTTTGTATATTGGCTTTGTATTTTGCATTTGCTGAAAACACCTATTAGTTCAAGGAGATTTTTTTTAAAGCTCATTTTGTGATTTTTCTGTGTAGACTTACTCTGTATTTTTTAATTTTAGCCTCATGCATTGATTGGAACTTCCATTACAATCTTGAGTAGAAGCCAATACCTTTTTCTACTCCAAAAACTGTTTACTTTTGAGAGTAAACACCTTCTCCCACCTAATCTTAGGATGAAAGCATTCAGTCTTTATTAAGTATGATGTTAACTATACACTTTTTATAGATTCCTTTTATATTAGGTTAATGAGTAGATTTTGAATTTAGTGAAATATTTTACTTTAATTGATGTGGTTGTGTGATATTGATTATTTAGACAATATTTTTTTTTCTTAAAAATTTTTTTTAAAAATTATTTTTCAAGTACAGTATTCTGTCTTTTACTCCCATCCCAGCCTGCCCACCCCCTGTGCTCCCCACCTCCCTCCCATTTCCACCCCCCTTAGTTGTTGTCCATGTGTCCTTTATACTTGTTCCTGTGAATCCTTTCCCTTTTTCCCCTGAAATTCCCTCCCCTCTCCCCTCTGGTCGCTGTCCCCCTGTTCTCTATTTCAGTGTCATTGTTTTTTTTTTAAATTTTATTTAGTTATTTTTCAAGTACAGTTTTTTGTCTATTTCTCCCATCCCAGCCCCCCCTGCCCCATGCTCCCCACCTCCCTCCCATTTCCTCCCCCCCAGTCCTCATCCCTGTGTCCTTCATACTTGTTCCTCCAGATCCCTCCCCTTTTTCCCCTCTGTCATTGTTTTTATTTTGCTTGCTTGTTTGTTTTGTTGTTTAGCTCCCTGTTAAAGGTGAGATCATATGGTATTTGTCTTTCAACACCTGGCCTATTCACTCAGCATAATGCTTTCCAGTTCCATCCATGCTGTTGCAAAGGGTAGGAGCTCCTTCTTTCTTTCTGCTGCATAGAATTCCATTGTGTACATGTACCATAATTTTTTTATCCATTCATTTACTGATGGGTACCTCGGTTGCTTCTAGCTCTTAGACAATATGATTTTTGAATATTGCAACAGTTTGTGTTCTTGGGAGAAATCCCACTTGATCTTGATTTATTAGCTACTGTTTTTCAGTGTTGCATTTACATTTATGCCATGAGGAATATTGGTCTGTAGGTTTCTTTTCTTGAATGTCTGTGCTTGGTTTTGCTATGAGGATGATGCAGACCTCATAAAATGATTTAGGAAATATTTCCATATCTTATATTTTCTTGAAGAGATTATGTAAACTTGGTATTATTTCTTTAACTATTTGGTAGAATTCACTAGTTAACACCATCTGTTCCTGGAACTGTTTTTTTGAGCTACATATTTTTTCACCACATATTAGAGTTCTTAAATAGATTTATTTAGGTTTTTTATTTCTTCATGGTGAGTTTGGTAGTTCTTGTTTTCAAGAAATTGGTCCATTTTTCCCTGGCTGGTGTGGCTCAGTGGATTGAGTTCTGGCCTATGAACAGAAAGGTCAGGGTTTGATTCCTGGTTAGGGCAAATGCCTGGGTTGTGTACCAGGTTGCTTGTTGGGGGTGTGTGAGAGCCAACAGAGCCATGTATCTCACACACTGCTGTTTCTCTCCCTTTCTTTCTCCCTCCCATTTCTTCTCTCTAAAAGTAAATAAATAAAATCTTTTTTTAAAAAGGAAGAAATTGATCCATTTTATGTAGATTGTCAAATTTATGGGCATAGAATTTCAGTACTTTTGTATTATCTTTAATGTCTGCTGTATCTGTAGTTATATCTTCTCTTGCATTTATTTTTGATATCAGTAATGTGTCTTGTTTTCCTCAGTTGGTTTTTATTGTTAAAAATCTTTTCAAAGAATTGAGCTTTGGTTTGATTGATTTTTCTGGTATTTTCAATTTCATTATATTCTCTGACTTTTATTATTTTGTTCTTTGTTTAGATTTACCTTCTCTTTGTATATTTTCTTTTTAAAAAAATTTTTATTTTAATTGTTGTTCAAGTACAGTTTTCTGTCTTTTACTCCCATCCTAGTCCACCCACCAGTGCTCCCCACCTCCCTCCCATTTCCAACCCCCATGTATAGTTTCTTAAAGTGGAAGTTTAGGCAACTGATGGGTGGGTTTAAAAAATTTTTTTGTAATATAAAAATTTTAAGGTATGAATTTATCTCTTAGTACTACTATAACTATATCCCACAAATTTTTATGTTTTGAACAGTTTTCATTTTCATTCACTTCAAAATACCTTAATTTTCTGTGAGACATCCTCTTTGACCCATGGTCTAATTATAAGCATATTAATTTATAAATGTATTTTTCAAAATAATATTGTATTACTAATTTCTAGTACTGTTTTTCTTTTGCTTGAGATTATACTTTATATGACTTCTTTTATATTTATAAGGATTCATCTTATAGCCTGTAATGTAGTCTGTCTTGACAAGTGCTTGTGTACATTTGAGAATAAGGTGAATTAAGCTGCTTTTTAGTTTTTTGTATATGGGTTTTGTATGCTTTTTACCATCAAAAGCACACTTCATCTTTTAGAGTATGCTTTTGAAGTAGTGCTGTTTCATCTCTCCTAGCTGTAGTATTGGGCTACAGTGTATTCCTGTCCCCTGCTCCTTATTTCTGTGCTTCTTGTTTTCTCTTTTTTCCTCCTGCTTGTTTTGAGTTGGCTACCAATACCTTGAGCCAACACATTTGTTGCTCTTGTCCACCTAGATTTTATAGAATAGATAGGAATATGGTTCTAGGTGGAATTTTGGCAGTGGCCACTGCTTCCATCTCCCAAAATATCTTATGAACAGAAATTTCTCAAAATACTGTCTGATCTTTCCTATGAACTCTTGGTTTGGCTCATGGAGGGAAATGTCCAGATGCTTTATATCTGTAGTCGGAGTATAAAGAAATGTTTTTTTTTCCCCTTCTTTGATGAGGGGGTTGGGGGAGGCTTGAGTATGATGGATATTGTCAGAAAGCTTATCTGTTAGATCACCTTTTCCTTAGTCTTTAGGTAAAGGTTGGCACTCTTTTGTCTTTGCCTATTATTCACTTTCGACTGCAGGCTTCTCCAGCAATCCAACCACTCATATAAGATATGTGGGAAGCAGAAAGAAAATCTGGGAATTATCTGCCATAAAATTTTTAAGGGTCAAAGCCTAGCTTCTTTTTATTTTGTAGCATCCTTTTTTCCCCCCAGAAAATTTTAATTGCTAGAGGGGGAGGAGCTGGAAGAATGGGGCTGCTCCATCTTGGTTAGCACTGTAAATAATACCTGTTTTGTTTTTTGTTTTTTTTTAGACAACTTGGATAAGCCGAGAGAGAATGTGTGTCTGTCTTTCTGTCTGTATGCATGAGTTGTTAATCTTTGGAAATATGACCAGAAACAATACAATGCATAACATTAAACTCCTCCCAATAAGAAATGTAAGAGTCATAAGATGTTTTCCATTTTTCTCATTTTAGGATATTGCAAAGTTGATTTTCATATAGAAGAGAACCAGGAAAAACAAGAGAAACCTCTGTGGCAAGTAATATTCATTGATAGAAAAATATCGAGTGAAGAAGGACAGAAAATTTTAGGAAAACCAGTTAATCTGGAAATAACTCCAGATTTTTCAGGGAAAATGCCTTATAAATGTGACTCATGTAGAATGAATTTGCCACTTGTTTCTGACTTAATTGTTAGTGATAGGAACTATTCAAGAAAGAAGACCGATAATATAAATGTATGTGAAAAGTTACAGCTTGATGTTAAACATGAGAAAACCCATACTGGAGAGAGGTCTTACAAATATAGCAAAAATGTGAAAGCTCTCAGTCATAAGAAAGGTCATCAGAAATTTCAAACTCTGGAGCAACCTTTTGAATGTAATGAATTTGGAAAAGTTCTACATGATAACATTGCTGTCTGTGTTACTGCTAAGAGTTCTCCCATAGGACAGGAATCCTGTAAGGATGATGAATTTGGGAAAAACTGTGATAAGACAACTCTATTTAACCACATAAGAACTGGCACAAGGAAAAAATGCTTTGATCTTAATGACCGTGGCAAAACCACCATTGTGGAATACAATAAAGTTCACATGGCTTTGACACACAGTGAATTTAATGAAAGTGGAAATAACTTCAACAGGATTTCACCCCTCATTCAGCCTCAGGGAACTGTTAGAGGACAGGGTTCTTTTGAAAGCAGTAAATGTGAAGAAAACTTGAGCCAAAGCTCAGCCCATCTAGTATATCAGAAGATACAAACTGGTGATAAACCCTGTGTTTTTAGTGGATGTACAAGTTCCTCCTACCAGAACTTAGACCTTACAGTACATCAGAGAACTCAGACAGAAGAGAAATTCTACCAGTGTTGTAAATGTGGGAAATCTTTACATCAAAACTCACTCCTCAGTGTACACCAGGGAAGTGACACAGTTAAGAAATCATTTGAAAGTAATGAATGCAGTAAGTTATTTTACCAGAAAGCACATATTTACCATCAGAGGACCCACTCAGAAGAGAAAACCTATGAATGTGAGGAATGCAGGAAATCCTTTTGTTCAAATTCATACATTAGTCATTATCCTGGTGCTCATATGGGGGTGAGTCTCTATGAATGTAATGAATGTGGGAAAACTTTCTGTCAGATGTCAAACCTCAGTGAACATCTGACAGTTCACCAAAAGGAAAAATTGTATGAGAACAGTGGATTTGAGAAGTCTTATAAGAAGTCTGCACTCTTAGTACTCCAGAGAACATACGCACAGATTAAACTCTATCAAAGTAATGGATATGGGAACTCATTCTCCAGGATAGCACAATACAAAGAATATCAGAGAAGTCACACAGAGGATAAACCATATGAATGCACTGAATGTGGGAAAACTTTCTCCAAGACACCACATCTCAGAGCACATCAGAGAATTCACACAGGCAAAAAAACCTATGAATGTATGACATGTGGGAAAAGTTTCTCTAATAAGACACACTTCAGTGCACATCAGAGAATTCATACAGGGGGGAAACAGTATGAGCGTAATGAATGTGTGAAAACTTTTGCTGATAATTCAACCCTCAGGACACATCAGAGAATCCACACAGAGGAAAAACCCTATGAGTGTAACGAATGTGGGAGGTCTTTTGCCCATATATTTGATCTCAGATCACATCAGAAAATTCACACAGGAGAGAAACCTTATGAATGTAATGATTGTGGGAGATCTTTTGCCCATAATTCAGCCCTCAGAGCACATCAAAGGATTCACACAGGAGAGAAACCCTATCAATGTAATGGCTGTGAAAAAACTTTCACACATAATTCAGCCCTTAGAGCACATCAGCGAATTCATACAGGTGAGAAACCCTATGGACGTAATGAATGTGGGAAAAGTTTCCCCAAGAAATCATACTACAGTGGACACGAGAGAGTTCATAAAGGGGAAAAACCTTATGAATGTAAAGAATGTGGGAAAACCTTTGTTTATAAAGCAGCCCTCATAGTCCATCAAAGAATTCACACAGGAGAGAAACCCTATGAATGTAATGAGTGTGGGAAAACTTTTTCCCAGAAGACACACCTCAGTACACACCAGAGAATTCACACAGGTGAGAAACCTTATGAATGTAATTTATGTGGGAAAACTTTTTCCCAGAAGTCATACCTCAGTGGGCATGAGAGAATTCACAAAGGGGAAAAGCCTTATGAATGTAAAGAATGTGGGAAAACCTTTGTTTATAAAGCAGCCCTCATAGTCCATCAAAGAATTCACACAGGAGAGAAACCCTATGAATGTAATGAGTGTGGGAAAGCTTTTTCCCAGAAGACACACCTCTGTGCACATCAGAGAATTCACACAGGTGAAAAACCTTATGAATGTAATGAATGTGGGAAGGCTTTTGGAGATAATTCAGCCTTCAGGGCACATCAGAGAATTCACACAGGGGAGAAGCCTTACAAATGTAATGAATGTGGGAAAACTTTCTCCAAGACCTCACACCTCAGAGCACATCAGAGGACTCGTGCAGGGGAGAAACCCTATGAATGTAATGACTGTGGGAAAACTTTCTCCCAGAAGTCATATGTTAATGCACATCAGAGAATTCATACAGGGGAGAAACCCTATGAATGCAGTATATGTGGGAAACCTTTTACCCATAATTCGACACTCAGAGTACATCAGAGAATTCACACAGGTGTAAAATCCTATGAGTGTAAAGAATGTGAGAAAACTTTCTTCCAGAAGTCGCACCTTATTGCACACCAGAGAATTCACACAGGGGAGAAACCTTATAAGTGTAATGAATGTGGGAAAGCTTTTGCCCAAAATTCAACTCTCAGAATACACCAGAGAATTCACACAGGGGAGAAACCATATGAATGTGATGAATGTGGGAAAACTTTTGTCCGGAAGGCAGCCCTTCAGGTACATCACAACAGAATACACACCAGAGATAAAACTTTCGTGTCATGAATTTGGGAAGTCCTAAAGAAGCCTATTCATTATTAGGTAACACAGTGGATAAGTTCATGTCACATAGACTGCAAATTTTGTCTTTTTTTTTAAATTTTATTTTTCTAGTAGGCACAAGCTTGTCTAAATTCTCTTTTTGTCCTTCATCTGGGTGGGGCTGGTCATGAAATAACACTATTAAATTTCAGCTAAATTTGGCTTTAAAGAGTCACCTTACATTCCTCCTATTCTGTGTTAATACTGTAGTGGGGAAATTTCCATGGCAGACTTGGGTGCTCTGAATAGAGCACAGAGAGAAAGAAGTTAGAATCTGAATAACTGAAACAATTCTCCACTAACAGGAAAGACCTCTTTCCCAGTTTTGTTTTGTTTTTTTTTTAACAGGAATTTAATTTGTACTATGTTGAGTTCTTACAGATTTTGGTCTACTGGTTAAGTCATACAGTTTAGCAAACTCTATTAGAGGGGTGAAACCTGTCAACCCAGGGTTGTTAGTATCAATTTAGTGCAACAGCAATCCTCAATTTGGGATGTGGTGAAGAAGGAAACTTTATTCAGTGCAAGTGATAATACAATGTGGCTGTGAAGACAACACTGCTGTGGAACAGCTCAGTTGTGCAGCAGCACAGCTGTGAAAATAGCCTGGCTGTGAGGCTGCCATGGGGCCAGGCCCTTCTTTGGCTAGGCAGCTCCAGTCTGCCCCCCACAGTGGTCTGCTGATCTGTTCTGCTTTGCTCCACTCCATGCCAACCTTCTCCACTTTGCACCAGGGAGATATCTTTGATGTTTCAGCCTTAGCCATGAAATACGGTCTTCATTCTTTGGTGGAAAGTATGCTCTCTAAGCCAGAGGGAAGCTGGCTTATATGGGCATAAGTTTCTGCCCCTGGTCCCTCATTGGTCCTCATGCAAATGAGTCCAGATACAGTTTGGTACAAAGGCACTGTCCTATTGGGCAGAATAGAGCTGTTCTCATTGAATAGGGAAAGCCTCAGCCCTATTAGTTGAAATAGGATTTTAGGAAACCTTTGTAAGTGTTTGCTCAGATGGCAGAAACACAGTGTAGGCAGGCAGTTCAATGCAGAGGCTTCTCCATGCAGTGTAGTGTGGGAGACCACTGGGCAGAAATGGCTGCTAGACTCTACTGTTTATTTTTACTTTATTTGTTTATTGGAATCTCGTTCTTTTGCCCTTCCTGGGTTCACTAACAATATTAAATATAATGAATATTAGAAGACCTATCGGGATTGAACCAGTACATCAGAGACATCATTCACATGATGAAGGCAACTTCTGTCAATGTCCTAAAGGAGCTGATGACCATAAAAGAGAGAAATCTCAGGGAAATCCACAAAAGCCTTTACTTCCAAGTGAACTTCATCAAACATCAAATAATATTATACTAAAATATATTTTGATAAATGACATTTTAATACATTGAATTTGTATCAGATAATTATTTTCTAAGGAAATGTATCAGTTTCAGAATTTTAGGTAAAATCTTCAACCAGAACTGATGTACTAAAAATTGTTTATAGCCCTGGCTGGTGTAGCTCAATGGATTGAGCGCAGGCCTGTGAACAAAGGATCATGGTTCAATTCCCAGTCAGGGCACATGCCTGGGTTACAGGCCAGTTCCCAGTGGGGGACACACGAGGCAACCACACATTGATATTTCCCTCTCTCCGTCCCTTCCCCTCTCTCTGAAAATAAATAAATAAAACATTAAAAAAAGAAAAAAACTTGTTTATAAGTTTTATAGAAAATATATGGGTGTATACACAAACTCATTGTAGAAATTTTAAAGATGGAAGAATAACTTGAATTGTGTAGACAACACCAATAAATTTTTGTGACTAGTTTCTGAGCTATGTGGTACCCATGTGAGTATGTAACAGTAGAAGGCAGTTTCCAAGCCTGCTATGACCTGTTCACTTTTTGAGTGACCATTGACATGCTGCTTCTGTTGGCTTCTCTCAGCTTGATGATGTTAAATTTTTGCCTATCTGGTATGTCTGAATATCGGTCTGGCCCTGTTTTTCTAGGACCATAAGATTTCCCAAGGATTCTTTGTGTATGTGTGGTGAATGTTGATGCTTATATGCTCTTTTTGACTTCATTTTATGCTGTTTTAGTGGTTCATTTTGCACTAACTATAAATCAAGTCTTATCTCTCTTGTATGTCTGTACCCTGAGCATCCTGTATAGGATCTTTTCCCAACCCCATGATCCTGCAGCATTGCAAACTAGTGAATTTCTATCCTGCATGGAAAGCAGATTTTAGAGTTGGAATGAAGTCAGGGCTACTTTCCTATCAGGAGCATCACATTGGTATTAGAAAAAGAAAAATTCTTTGGGGAAGCAGTATAGTGTAGTCTCAGCCAACATAATATTTGGAAAATCTACCATAATTTTAGGCTACATGATTTGGTCAGCATAGAGAAGGAAGTAAGTGAGATTCTTATTTTTAAAACTTGGAACACTAAAAATTTCAACTGGGCATGTTGCTTTCTGAAAGTGCAATCTGGTAGATTGAGTATGTGGACAACAAATTAGTTGATTACCTAAGTAAATCCTCTGTTCCCTATCTTATATTGATACTGTGTGAAGGAAATTAATGGTATGTTTCCAGCATAGATCGGAGAACAGATATTTCTTTGATACAGGCTTATTGCTTACCTTAGTGGCATTACTGCCACAGAAAAGGGCCAGGTCACCATTAGGTAAGGCTATATCATAGTACTACTAGGGCTATCACACCAGAGATTTGATCAGTACTTCTGGTGGCAGGAGAGTTATAAAAGCTAAAAGAATGTGCTTGCCTCTCCCTAGCCTGACACTTTGATTTAATGTAAACTTAATTGCATGGTGCCAAAAGGGAAATGAGTGAAAAGACATCTCTTTTCTACATGCTTGATTTTTTAAAAAAACTATTGATTTATAGAATGCTAGTGGAAATTATCTAACCTGGAGAACTTTATGTTTTAAAAAAGTTAACTTCAGTCTAAAATGGTTGTAGATTTAAAGAAAAGCTAAAACAATAATTCCTATATATTCCTGACACAGTTCCCCTTGTTAATATCTTTTGTTACTCTGGTACATTTGTCATAAATGGATGCGGACTTTGTCCAGTGGGGTGTTTATGTTGTGGATGCAATGGACAAATTCATACGGACTACAGAAGTCCTGTGGAGAAAAAGGGATGGCAGGGCTACTCTCAGGGCGCCTCGACCCTTGCCTGGACAGGCTTTTATTGCTTTCTAATAGCATACAGTAAAGAAGGTTTTCATTATGTTCAGGTTTGCTTTAGGTGATTACTTTTACAGATAACAAAGGAAAGGATGTTACTGATTATTTCTTACAGATTAAGAAGGAAAAAATGTTGCAAATGCAAAGGAACGATGAGTGATTGGTCTGGTTACACTCTGTCCTTGTGAGAATAAGCACAGACTTTAGGAAGTTACTTTACATAGTAAACATTTACTGCTTCAACTCAGAGTGAGGGAGTTTTAGCAAGAGCAAGCCTCAAAGCAGCCTCGGTATAATGCTGGTCTGGTTTCCCACGAGAAAGCCAATCTGTGGGTTTGGCTCCTGTGTGCTGACTCGCGCCTGTTGGTTTTCTAATAAGGATGGGCTACATTTCCCATTGCCAGGTAAACTGGTTCCCTATAATAAATATGTCACATTGATGATAAGTAACATTAAAAACACATTATTTTTCAGATTTCACTAATTTTTCTCTAGTGTTTATTCCAAAATTTCATCCAGGATATGCATTACATTTAATTTTCATGCCTCCTTAGCTTCTACTGGTGTGTGACAATTTCCCATACCTTACATGTTTTTGATTAACTTGACAGTTTTGAGAAGTAGTTGTCAAGTGTTTTGCAGACTACCTCAGTTTTGGTATCTGATATCTTTTTATGTTTGGTGTTACAGATTTGTTTATTTTACAGGAAGATTACAGAGGTAAAAAATACCATTCTAATCATATTAATAGCAAATGCTGTTGGCCTGAATGATCACTTACAATGCTAAGCTTGATCATCTGGTTGAGGTAGAGTCCTCCAATTTAAAAGCATGTATGTAAGTCCATGCTTGCTACTTGGTAAAAATTTCTGTAATAAATGATTAGTTTATCAAATTGTACATAAAATAAGTTTAAAATCCTTTTTATATGCTTCTGAATTTTCATGTTGGAAACAGTATAAGTAGGTTTAAAACCTAAAACATCCAGAATTTAAAAATACCCTCAAGCTGACCCAGTTTATACTCCCACATTTTGGTTTTTAGTGTTTATTGGAATATGGATGAATTATTGCCCTTTTCTTTGTTCCGCAGGATTTAACTTCAGGATTTTATTTATCCTTACAGCTCATTATGGAAGTGGTACCAACCTCTTCTATACCTCTTAATCCTTGGAATTTGGACTTTGAGTGATGAAAGGACTGGAAGTTTGCAATTTTTTTAGCCAATCAACCCAGAGGCTATAACATTAACCCCCAAAATAACAGTAGATACAAAGAATGACCAGCCATGATACAAAGAATGACCAGCCATGATAACTTACTTGTCCTTATAGGACAAATAAGTCAGGCTTGAGAGTAAGATGGGGTATCAAAAGCCAAATGCCTGCATAGGGTCTTTTTTCTCAAGCATTCATAAATTGTATGGTACTAGAATGAAGATTTTAAAAGGAATGTGTGCGTTATTATTATAAAGTTAAGTTTGGGCCTATAGACCATGAGCAGAAGATAATGAGATAGATAGAGAAAAGATTAGGAGCAGGTGGTCATTCCCAAATAATAGCTTAATAGATAAACTATGGAAGGATTATAGAGCAGCAAAAATTACTAATGAAGCAAGAACACATGGGCATATGTTATTGCACACATACAATGCATACGATCAGATAGAAGTGTGGATGAAAATCTAATATGAACTGTAAAAGCAATGCCTCTGAAAGAGGACTATATTAATTGGAGTACATGTGGAAAACAGCTTTATTGATAACATGCTTTCAAAACAGGCATGCCCCTCTGATAGAAGAATGTAATCATGTCCCTACTGTGATAAACAGGAGTAAGATTTCACTGTTAGACTGCTCAGGGAGCCAAAGAAGATTGTTGGTGGTCAGAGTGCACTGTGAATCCAAGAGAAATAGAAACCAAAAAGCATACTGAAAAAGCATAGGAAATAAGGGAAGGAACAAGAGACCACTGAATAAACAACACAAGAAAACCTAGATTTTACATGCCTTGTGGACAGATAGATACTCATGAGAGAGAAAAAGATTATACATTAAGAAGTGGCCACAAGGCCAAAACTCTAGAACTGCCAAATTCCAAGAAATGTGGTGCACTACCAGTGACAGTTAAGTGGAGTTAAGTTGCTAAAGAAGACTCAGGTCCCAAAATGGCAACACTTACAAATTTACAATTTATTAAGAAAGAAGGGTGCATTGTATCCTAGCCAAAGGCTGCCACACAGCAAAGGATTTGGGTAAGGGCCACTCATAAGCTCTCATTTTCTTTCACTGGACAGACATGATTTTACTGTCAGGTAACCAAACATGTGCATAGGACTCCCCAGAAGCGACAAATTGGTTTACTGCTGAGGTTTCTTCTATTGTGTTGGAATATAGAAGGCATGTAGAATATAGAAGGCATATTCTTGCTAGGTAACCAGCCACAACAGCAGAGGACTCTGAGGTCTTGATGAGAATGGGTGTAAATTACCAACTGTACTCTTAATAAACACTGCTGATAAGGTGTTAAAACCTGTCCCAGAATATCTTCAGTCCATGGTTACAAAGAAACACTAGTGTTTCATTCCTTGACTAATGAATGGTGATGTACAGATACTTCAGCTCAGGCCTGTTCCAGGAATGCTGGACTTAATCCCCCTGAATTTTGATTAAAGCCTTTTATCAAAAAACAAACAAACAACAACCAAAAAACCCCACCACTCTTGTTTGACAGCAGTCATTTGCCTTTCAACAACATATAATCTAATAGATGATCAAAATACACATATACATTGTGGAGAGTTGTAGTAACCAGTGAGGGCTTGTGTAATTTTAACTATCTTATAATACTGGCACAAATTGTCTCATGTTTTATGTTTTTACATTTTCCTTTCTGGGGGGGGGGCTCCCTGATCTATAGCTATCTGAACTTTATGGTATACATCTGAATAGTTAAGAATTCTAATCAACCTGTCATTTAAGTCTAAATCTTCTTTAAGCATATTCTGTTTAATAATTATGTTTTGTGAAATGAGATTCAAAAGAAAACCACATTGGTATTCTTCCACATAGTTATCATCTGAGCTCTCATCTGTTTATTGGTTAGGAAGGAGGACATAGATCAATCCTGAAAGTATGTTCATTAGATTGGCCATTGTATTGCTCGTTTTTCATTTAATTAAAAGTGGAGGACATTTTCACAGTCTTTTGTCCTAAGAGGCATTTGAGTCTAAACTAACAGTATATTTTTCATTTGTTCTAAGTCTCTCTTAAGGCACCAATGCTATCTTAGATTATTTGTTTGTATGACATCCATTTATTGGCTCCCCTCCATTGAACAACAATCTCACATTGCCCGCATTTACCATTAATGTAAAAATCAGCCTTTCCTCTTGAAGTCACTGATCATGATGGTAGCACAATGAAATGGTCAGGGCTTCCTCTGGCTCATCCCCAGTCATACAGGGTTGGGTTGGATAAGTACAGTGAAATATGGCTCTCCTACCCACTAGGTAACAAAACATTTGTACAGTTAGGTCCAACTTGGTGGAATACAGGAGACTGTTCATCTGATCAGTCCCTTTGGAATTCTTGACATTAGTCAAAGTAAGTAATAGACATAGTCTCTGGTTTTGGAATGTTTTGAACTCTTGGGCCTTAATTTTAGCCCCATTATAGGGATTTTCAGATCTGCTATTGAAAAAGAAAATTGTTGGAAGTAGGAATGATTTGCATGTGAATTCATTTTTCATCCCCTGTCCTATAGACTGAATGTTTGTATTTCCCCAATATCCATATTTTGAAGCTCTAGTCCCCAATGTAATGGTATTTGAAATGTGGGACCTTTGAATATTTAAAATAATGAGCACTTATTAAACACATACATAGCAGACATCATACCAGGTATTGGGAGTATGTCTTGTTGAGTTTATAATCTACTTGGAACAACAGTATCAATGTATGTGCTGGTTGTCACAGTGGAAGGAATACTTCTCCAAATTTAATCAGATTGGTTATATTTCAGTGCAACAACAATGGAGTTAAGGAGTTAAATTAAAAGCCAATAACAGAAAGATCTCCAAAATTTCTTCACAAACTTGAAAACCAAGTAAAACACTTATAAATAACTCATGAGTTGAAATAAAGCCAAACAATTAAGAAGTATTTTCAGCCGAATGAAAATAAAATATATGCATTTCAAGATTAGTGGGATCTCAGTAGTGGAATTGCTGGGTCAAAAGGCAGTTCCATTTTTAGTTTTCTGAGAAAATTCCATACCGTTTTCCACAGTAGCTGCACCAGTCTGCATTTCCACCAACAGTGCATTAGGGTTCCTTTTCTCCACATCCTCTCCAACAAAGAACCCTGAAACACCAATCCATGAGAACCTATGCATGCACCCAATGTTCATAGCAGCACAATTTACAATAGCCAAGTACTGCAAGCAACCTAAGTGCCCACAGTAAATGAGTGGGTCAAAAAACTATGGTACATTTTCACAATGGAATACTACACAGCAGAGAGAAAGAAGGAGCTCCTACCCTTTGTGACAGCATGGATGGAACTGGAGAGCATTATGCCAAGTGAAATAAGCCAGGTGGTGAGGGACAAATACTTTATGATCTCACCTTTAACTGGAACATAATCAACAAAAGAAAAAAGCAAGCAAAATATAACCAGAGACATTGAAATTAAGAACAATCTGACAGTAACCAGAGGGGAGATTTGGGGGAATAATGGGGGGAAGGGTTTTCAGGAACTACTATAAAGGACACATGGACAAATCCGGTGGGGGGGAGTGGAAGCAAGGGAGGGAGGTGGGTTTGTCTGGGGTTGGGGGGGGATGGTGGGGGGGAATGCAGATGACTGTAATTGAACAATAGGTAATTAAAAAAAAGATTAGTGGGATCTTCCTCATTGAGTACTTAGAGGGAAATATAGTACAGTAGAAGATTTTGAGTCAACAACCTTAGCTTCTGCCTTAAAAACCAAAAAAGAAGAGCAGATATAACCAAAAGGATGCATATGAAGGAAGTGAAAAAATAAGTATATTTCATATATGAGTGAAATCATATGGTTCTTGGCTTCTGACTTATTTTGCTTAGCATAATATTGTCAACACCTATCTATGTTGTCACAAATTACTAAAAGCATATGAACAAATAAAAATAAACAAAAACCCATAAACACAGACAACGGTATGGTGGTTACCAGAGGGAAGGAGTGGGGGGTAGTAAAGGGT